AGAACTAAATTAACCCTAATGTTGCATTATAGTTTAGTGCATAAAACCTATTCGATATGGAATTCAGTAGTATTTTACGTTATGTGGAAAATTATTATTTGATGTTAGGTATAAAGGAAGATCACTTGGTTTACCTGATTCACTAAATTATCAGTATGTCTAGCTGGGAATTTCGACAGCAGTTGTTTATAAGTTTACAGACCGTAGTTGTTACGAACTTCCTGAAATAATTTGAGCGCCGAGTCAGATTGATTCATTCTAATTTACGCTTCATTAATTAACCTTGTTTCCAAAACAAAATGGTTATAACAGATACGTCCAATCTCACGAAATAGTTTATTTATGAGTATTACATATTAGCAGATTATTCAAAAGAAATTAATTAATTCATACCATCCAAAACTGGTCAAGGTAGATCCTGCCTACCTATCCATAACACGTGTTTGGGGCGTATCCTAAAGTTTCTACAAGCCATGGCAATTAGAAGGTTTAAACCACCGTTATGCGTTCAAGGCAACAATTCGTCATCACACTAAACCTACCTTCCTTGGTAAACTTTGTTTTGATACCAAAGCAGATGTACTATTACCTCTGCTATTTGGTTTAGTGATCTTCATTGTTATTTTGACCTCCATTATGTCTTTTTCACTTAACCTGAATTTATTTTGCTCACCTCTTAACTCTATTAATTTTGTATATATTCCTATGACTAGTCCATGTGTGATCAGATTGTTCGAAATGTGTTGCGCATATACATTACACAATTCAGACAAATTACGTCTTCTTATTGTTTTGTCTAAATTCATAAAGGAAGTAAATATTTTCAAAGATAGGTTTAGTTGAATGTTTATGTAATAGGGTCAGAAGCCTAACTAGCAAGTCAGAAGACTCACATAATGAAATCAAACTGGTGAATAACTACCTACCAGTTTTAATTCGAAAATTTATGAAGATCCATAGGGAAAATAAGAGTAGTAATTCAAAACAACAATAACAATATGGAATTCAAAGCCTCTGTAGTACTGCCACATAAAGAGGCAATATTAAATGCCCGTCTTAGACTTCTTAATGAGGCCAGCTTTAAAGTAGCGTTTGAACCGACCAGTCAACTCAGAGTTAAACTTGTCAGTTTAAGGACCCGGTAGACCCAATTAAGAAAAACAATATAATCTATCAAATATTATGTAATGAATGTGAGTTTAATTACATGGGTTAGACTAGTAGATCGGGATCAGTTAGATTATCGGAACACACAAATCTAGCCACACCTAGAATGATTGACCCTGAGAAGTTATATAACCTAGAAAAAGGCTCAGCCATTCACATTGAATTCATTTGCATGTAATCACACAGTAGGGCATGTTAACGTGATAATATTTAAATGTAATATATTTAGTTGGAGGGAAAGGTCAATCACTGAGACGTTATTCATCGAACCAACAACGAACATGTGGAGTAGTAATGAAGCAATGCGTATACTGGCTACATGGAGAATTACGGTAAACAATAAGGGTTGGAGAAAGAGACATATTAACATATCTAAAGCAAATCATGAAACCGTGTGAATACGTTGTTATGATTATGAGGAATAAATTATGTGTAATAAGTGATTTTATTAGGGGTATTTACAGTAGTACAGGTTGTGAGACAGGTATTGTGGATACCTTATCAAGCCACACTGGATCTCAATAAAAGATCAGACGTCAGCTCTTTCGATGTGGTTGAATCCACACTACCCAAATGGCCTGCTCGGAACTGTCAGTCAGAAGGCCCGAAATGTTGTACCTATTGATGAAGTGGGTTGGAAAGATGAGATCCAGTTGTACTAATGACTATTTAATGAATTATAGGTGTCACGCCAAATGCTTTCTTTATCACACAGAACACGAGCTAGGTAGGGTATGGTTGAGTTCTTGTACTTGCTGGTGCGAGCATATAGTTTTCTATATTGGCTTCTTGTTTTACCTGATGAGATGCAAGGGGAGAGTTGTGAGTCAAGAGGGTGGTGTGAGTTAGATAAGATGGATTTGGCCCATTTTTCACATGAGTCCATGTGCCTGTCAACCAAAATATTAACAAGCTGGTTAAGTGGCACGTTGCTTACTCTGCTGACGACATTTAACATCCTGCGTAATATGTTATAGTCTTTCTTCAGTAGCCCTGGAAAAACTAAGGGGGAACAATAGAGAATAATAGGCAGGATGCGAGAATTAACGAATTGTAGGAGTAAGGGTTGGGTAATACCAGAATGTTTTAACTTCTTAATGTAGAAGGTAAGACGGAATATTTTCTTAGAAATTGCTAAGATATGAGACGACCAGGAGAGATCAGCAGATAGATTGACGCCTAGGTACTTAATTTCCGATTTAGTTTCTATTTCAGTGCCGTCTATGTTGGATACCTCAGGAGAGCCAAACAGTTTGTTTAGGTCGGATTTATGCTTAAAGGTGAAATTGACCGTTTGGCAGTTGGAGGGGTTTAGGGTAAGACCATTTTCCTTGAACCACTGGCTGATTTCTGACAGAAAGCTATTACGTTTAGAGCAGTCGCTTTGACATTTGATAGGCAAAGATACAGACAGATCGTCAGCGTATTTGACAAAATTAATGTCATTTGAAGATGGTAAGTCATGTAGAAAGAAAGAAAAGAGAAGTGGGGAGAGTACAGCGCCTTGGGGGACCTAATCATCCACCTACATACTGAGACAGGTGTTGAATCATTCCTATCACACATATTTGCAGTTTATTCTACTACTACTACGACAAATAGGAAAGAACAAAGAAAAATACAAAACTCATGTTTCGAAGTCCTGTGATTACAATTGATATGATTATGAAGAACAAATTGTGTTAGAAACGCTGTCACCCAGTAAATAATACTGTTTCACTGTGTGATATATCTAATAAACAGAGCATTATGGAATTACTTATTACCACCGTGCTCAAGTTTTACACATATATTAATGGGCGGCTTGAGAATATCAATCGTAATGTAGCAGAAGAGAACTTTATTTTTAGGACGTGAGATAATCTTATCTCTAGAATGTTGACACATATACTTCTTCTTATTCTACCTTCCCTCTCTCTAGTCATAAGCACGTCTAGGAATGGAATAACAGAGTCTTCTCCTTTCTCGATGGTAGGATTTATTGCAGAATGAACATCGTCAAATTTGTCATCAAGAATGTTCTTTGCTCCAACCTCATTCTTCATAACCGAAAATGTATCATTCATGTATCGACAGTAGAATTCTAGTTGATCAAGTTCATCTTCCTAAAGCGCATTCTCTGGATTTGCTGGAAAATATTGTTGCCTAGAATGAGTGCCACAACACCAATTTGTCTGTATACTTGCTTATCAGATGAAAGGTGAACATTTATTGTGCATTTCACTGAAGAAGATCCTTCGTGAAAGGTATACGAATGCTGACATCCATGTTTCGTCTGATGAGTTCTTCGCAGACACAGTCCTCACATTCCATAAGTGGTGCATCAGTGAGTAAGGAAGAGACATCAAAAGATATAATGAATTTATTGTCAACATTTGAATCTGTTATTCTCTCAACACATACAGAGGCGTCGTTTACACTGTGTTTCACCAACTCAGTATGTAGAGCCTGTAGGAGTTTCACTAACCATTTGGCTATGCAACTGGGATGTTGAATTTAAAATATCTAGTACTCGTCGGAGTGGTAAACCATTTCTGTGAACATTCGGAGAAGCATATAATCTTGGAGTGAACGGCCCAGTAGGTTTCAGTGATGAGATGTTGTTGCTGCTATATTTTGACTGAACTAGAGTACACGTATATTCTAGTATTTCTTCGCGTTTATAATTGTGACCTAACGTTGCGATTACTCGACATCCGCAACGTAATTCAAAAGGCACTTGCGAAGGAATACGGTAGTGTATTATTGCAGCAATCAAAATTCAAAAATCGAGCGAGTGCAAAAGTATCAATTGTTAACATGCCAGATTTAGAGTAATAAACAAATCGAAGTACAATTACATAGTGAAAGTATACTGTGATGATGCGTAATAAAACGGGTCACTACAATGTGATGTGATGTGTACTGATTTTGTGAGCTCAAGCCTAGTTGTTTCATACTAAGCAGGTTCACAAACTTATACATGAAACTAACCTGGCCTGATGTATAGCTTATATATCAATGCAATGTGCTAAAATTCTTCAATAGCACATATCCAGTATAGTCATATAAAAAAGCATATAAAAACCAAGTAAAGATATTAGAAATGTAATTTGACAATTGTACTGAATCAACACGAATGATATACATCATGATACTAGACGAAATAGACTTATAGTTATGTCTGTGATTTAAATGCAAAACCGCATGACGGAGTTTTCGAAAAGAAAACAGTCTCCGTTCACTAATCAGTCTGTCAAAGAAACACAGAACAAAAAATCCACTTCACTACAAGCACCTAATCAAATCATACCAAAGTGTCAATACTCATCAACATGCCTCTCCGAATTAAAACACCATTCATCACTTACTTCACTGATGCTACACAAAAGGTACTCTCACTTCTTCACCTACAAATGCATATATTCGTGTTACACTGAAATCCCTGGAACTACAACAATACCGAAAACAGCCCATACACTACTAGTGATTACCTCACCAATCTAAACAGAGATTGCGATTGAATTTCACAGTATCATCGTTAACCACTCGTCGATATGAAGACGACAGCAGTGATGTGACCAGAAATGCTGCTGTACACCCTCAAGTCCATCCACCACCGGATAACTGAGAATCAATATTGAATGAGAAGCTGACGACTACTCTGAAATGGTCTAGTCAAGTGAACTTCGTCATCCGATGTCAGAGAATGAACATTTGTTATCAGACCACTTCGAGGTCACATAAACAATCCACCCACCCACCCACACACTCACTCACTCACACACACGCCACGCACACACACACAAACACACACCACAGTCAAATTACTTCACAGAATGTAGATGCTGTTCTTAATTAGAAGGAATTTGTATTAATCAATTTTTAAGCAAATTTTGAATCAGTTTACAACACACCATACAAGAGAATAATAATTTAGAAATAAGAAAATATTAAGTTCAACTGTAAAATAAATGAAGCCAAAAATAGATGCACTATCACACTGGGGTATGCAACAGTACTCAAATGTTTGTAAACAAAAATCACAAGAAAACAAAACAAAACAACAAACACCAGCTACTCCGTTTGAAAGTCTCGCTGTGGGCTGACTCAATGCAATTCAATTTCATTCAATTCAATTCAATCTGGGACCAGTTAACATTCTCCAAATGAAGCAAACTGCAATTGTCACCGATACAAATGGCTTCAATTTCCCAGCATCATTGCACAGTTCAGTTGTACAGCAATTGAGGAGTTGCTTGACAGGGAAATTAGACAGGATGTCTGAGCAATTCTCAACACATTGTCTGTGTACGAAAACACTCGGAAGTCCTGCTTGCTACAAATTTCAAAATAAAAAAGAGTAAAGAGAGAAGAGGATTGAGATGAACTCTGATTCAGTAATCTGTGCGTGAACAGACTAGCTAAACTGTCACGTTGTTGTTCGTCGTGAAAGCAGAGAAATCGTTACCAGTTAGCAAATATTGTTACTGAGGATTTTCATCTGGATTTATAACCTGAGTATTAGTCATATTTGTCTAACACTGAAATGACTTGACGTCTCCATCATTCGTGTGTGTTCCGCGTGGAATACCGCGTTTCAAGCTTGAAACTTTGAAATTTAATTACTGGTGGCGTAGTCTTTAAGCATTGGCTATACTAACCCCCCCAACCTACCCACTTATCAGAATATGCGTACTGCCAGGTAGCAAATTCATCAAGGTTAAGGAGTGCGTCGGCTGGAAATCGAATCTGGGCTACTTGCATGGCTGGGACATTTTATACCACTGAATCACCGACATTCAACTAGACGCATTTCCCCATTCATTTTCTATCATTTATTACTAAGTATTATAACATTTGTTCGACTGAATTCGACCTTACCACTTTAAGCCATTCGATTTAAAGACACTGATAATTGTCTCATCTCAAACAGAATATACGAATCCGTTTCCATTGCGTGTGTGTGTGTTAGTGTGTGACCCGGAACTTGATTACAAAGTATACAACAAGAAATGATAATCGTCAACTTCATGCGCGACTAAATTGCAAATAATACTCATGATGATGATGATGATGAAAACGATGAGTTCTAGTGTGATTTACAACTGACATCATATAATAATCTCCGAGAGTACTGGTCTACAGACATCTGTGCAGATTGTGAACTGTGAATACTTAATCAGACACAAAATCGAACATCACTGGTTTGTCATTTGCAGTTTAAATTGCTTTCACAGGCTAGAACAACTTCATTACAATAATTAACTGCGTTAATCTACCGAGGTTGTTCAACAATTGCGTAAATATAGTCATCTACGCGTTCAACCGAATAATGCACTCATAGACATGCCTCCTATCGCTTATCCTGCCTGTTTCACCAATCAATAAAAATTCTTCACCTACTACCTCACACTCATGTAATGGTGGATAAGACAAAGTGTTGGCGAGACGATAAGAGATATAAGAGAGCACAAAGTACATTAGGGTTATTGGTGCAAATCGTGTCGGCCTGTGTTTCCTGCAATTAACTCGACACTTCAATAGGAAGTGTCAAATTGTCTTTGTGTTGGAAGAAATCCAACTTTAGTTCTGTTCCAGTGACCACTTGTCCACTGCACATTTGAATGAAGTAAATGCAACTACGTGATACACTGAATCTGCTCTCAGATGAGATACATTGAAATGTTAATCGAAGCTGTTGTGTCTGTTTGATAAAGACCTCATGACGAATATTGCTTTGACAGTCAATTTGAGGACTATCGATACTGCTTGACATGAAGTCGGCACTAACGCGATTGTCATCACTTCAGTATACACAGACTCATGTATCTGAATGGAGGTCTTCAGACAGTTGAATGTTACCTGCAGAACGAATACACACACACACACTTAGGTGTTTGTTCCCCTGTTACTCACGCACTACTCACACACTCAAGATAAATTAGGTAAGACTTTGGAATGCTGATGAACTGCCAACCATCACAAGGCTGATTAGACTGAAGCAATAATCCCGTTGAAGTAGTTAGTGAGATGACTAACTTTTCGTCTGACATACATAGGAATTCAGCACTGTTATGTGGCAGTCATAGAAGCGGTTTTCCTCCCTGTACGAGAACTAATTAATACTTCATATCTGAGGTAAACACACTGCAAAACAGAGGAATTTCGAATTCAGTTAAATCACGACAAATGTAATATACTACTTACAACGCATGCACCACACTGGTCTTTAATTGTAGTATTCGTATCCACTTTCACGCAGTTGTCGCATACATAACATTTTACGGAATAGACTTGAAATGTAAAAGAAACGTCGTTGAAGAGATGATAATAATGACAATAATTACAGTCGTGGTTTAGGTATATACTGCAGAACAGTGAATGAAGCAAATCAGTCAAGTGATTTCGCGTCTAATATTTTAGTGAATATTTCCGAAGTATGATTAACTTTCAAAAATCAGTTTCTTCATCTTTGAGGTAGTGTTAACCTTGAAGTACAATGTGTTGCACTAATTAATTATCAAGCGATGATCACCTTCAAGTAGGGATGAAGTCGGATGTTTGTTTCTGAAAGACAATTTGGGGTTTAACAATGGTGATTTTGTCTGAATGAAGTTATGTTTGGCAGTGGGGATTCGGACCTTGTACTGCCTGTCTGCGGGAAGTGTTTGGTGCGTGAATCTTTCTGATCCCACCTTGTTGGGAGTATTCCACTTGAGTCTCAGTACTTTTTTTGCATTTGAGAAACTACTCCCTGAACTGTATGACTGGCTGGCTGTCTGGCTGATGGTACTGTTGAAGTAATTTTGACTTTTCGTAGGCTTCTAATATTATTGTTAAATAGTTCCACAGACTGTTTCACAAATGACTGTCATTCTACTGTCATTGGGGCACTTCTCGACTGCAATTAACTCAAGGAACCTTTATTCAGCCATGCATTTGAACACAAAGATTGCTCTCCTGCGTCCAGTCGACAAGAAGTCCGTCAGAGTTATCAACTTCAATCAACTTTTATGAGGTAGTAGTGATGTCACTTTAGAAAGACAAACTGTCCTATACTAGTTTTTACCTTATTCTTGGGTACAACTCTTCAGTCAAGCAATATGGACTGCAAGTCTTATTCACATCGTTATCGAAATATCCTAGTCGATATCATGGCAATGGAACACGATATCCGTCTTCTGTGGACAGGTTAGTTAGACAATGATTACTACACGTCAGTCAACATGGGATGTTATCTTGGTATTTATGAACCACCAGTAGGTCAGAAGGTATTTGAAACTTGCTGTGCATTTGGATCAACATTCACCTTGCAACTCATGAGTGGAACTCAAAGCAACGGAATCGACAGTCTCTCTGATCATCTTCAATGCATGATGCTCACTTCTACTACTACAAACACACTGGGAAATAAATGACACAAATTATTCACGCAAATGTCACTCTCTGACCAAGATTATTATCGGATCATGTTCCCTAGATTCAGTGAGAGATGAGCAACCTGAAGCCATTTTGTGACTCATAATTCAAAACTGCATATGCATCAATAATACTTATCAAAAGAGAGAAAAGAACACGATATTCAACGTACCATTTTTCACTGTAAAGCTCAAAAATATCACCAGCAACGTCACTGATGAAGCCAATTTAGCATAAGTCATTCTGATGATGCTACTGACGACTATGACGACGATTGAAATACTACTAAATTGCGCTCTAATCTCATTAAATATTACTCAACACACATGAATTTCATGTTACCATGGTTTTGATGAGTCGACCAATAGTAATTCATCCTAACGGACCATACCGATTCAAGGCTGACAACCAATCAGTGTTTACATTTGCCAAAACGCCAAATACTGTTTACGTACTAAATTTATTCCGTTTGATCTCTACTGCACCACGATAATTACTCTGAATATCATTCTGTGTGATTTAGTGAAGTAATAGGCAGCGATGATGATGATTAGCTCATGTCTTCATAGTGGAAGTGGAAATGACTTAGTGAAAGGTGTCATGGTCATTTTCGTGTCACATTCAGTCTGAACATTTCTTCGTATGATCGTGACTTGTATTCAACAGAAACCATCTGAACTCAACTGAACAACGCTGCACGTGTGAGTTTGACAGACAGTCGTGTGTTCTCCTTCATTATCACAACCATGCACATTATTCAATACTGGTGAGTCAGGCAAAGAGAAATAATTCCGCTTCATCTATATAGTCTGCAACCTATCATTGGTTTGTCAGCTGTAAGGTAGTGCAACGTGCCAGGTGATTCACAATGGGAAACTCGGCGAGGTGTTCGAACTGAATACATCAGTAAGACAAGGCTGCCTGTCTACTATCACCGATGATGCTCTTAATTGTGGTAGGGTGGATTATGCGTCAGACTGTGCACAGAGAGTTAGAAGTCTTGAATACACTGGACCGATAAGATGACTCTAGCAGATCTGGATTTCGCGCTTGAATGACTTATGTTAAATGTCACACACACACCCAAACTGGAAGACTTGCAGGCGAAAACCAACAAACTGACAGAGGATGCAGGCTGCCAGAGAAGTCATGAAGGACTCCAGGTGAAGTTAAAGAAGACGAAGGTGATGAAGATCAACACTAACCAACCAACCTCCAAAAACAGCGACAAAAACCAGCTCTATTCACCATCAACAGATGAGATTTGAGAGAGGTTACTTCCTTCTATTATCTGGCCCGGAAGCACGGTTTCAAACGTAGGCTGGCGGAACGGATGTAGACATCAAAGCTAGCAAGCCAGCCAGAGTTGGGAAGGCAAGATACACCTTAATCAGCCAGAATATAATTTCGAGATCTTCTACACTGCACTCAGCCAGCCTGCATAAAGAGGGAGATTAGGATTTTCAACAGTCAGTTCTTTCATATGGGTTGGAAACGTGGTCAGACTGTCAAGAACAGGATTTCCAACAAGATGAAGACTTTTGTGAAGAGCTGCCACCTCTATTCTCTCCATACTGAAGATCAAATGCCCAGCCAACTGCATGGCCAGAGACAGTTGGCAACAAGAAACTCTGACTTGGAACAAACCAAACAACAGCTAATTGTTCAAGAAATTCGCCTGCAAGAATGGATATAAATCGGTCATACGTGGAGGAGGACATCGAATGATATAGCACAAAATGCAGTTCATCTGTATAGTGGAAGAGAAGCAGCAAGAGGTTCATCGGTGTGAGGCTGGCATGGAGCAGATCCTTCGAGGATGAGGAGATAGAGGATAATGAACATTCGTGGACGCAGATGAAAATGACAGATGAAAAAATAAAAAATTGGAGATGTGTTGTTGAATGCCTATGTTCGACTCGGAACAAAAAGGAATAATAATAGTAATACAGTGGTTTATCAATACTGTTTCTGTCGCCCCATAAATTCTACCACGTCACTCCTAATAATTTCGCACAGATAATTGTAACCGTTCGATCACATGTCGAAGCCACTCACTTAGTATGCCAATTCCCTCCGAATGAGTGATGGCCTGTGAATATAGACATACTGTGTTGGTAAGAATTCGGTGAATTTCATTGTTCCATGGAGTGTTGTAATGTGAATGCTGAAGAGTACTTCTCAACTAGAAGGAAACAAACGCTCATTGCTCCTGCATGATGTGTGGTTCTCTATCCGACGTCGCTTAATGACAATGTCTACTTCATCAAATGTCCTATTGATGTTGCTGCCGGTGACATAGCGAAGTGCAGATATTTGTTTCGTTGAAATATACAAAGTGCTCTTATATTTGACATTGTTGTACGAATAGAGTGAAAATTTGCACAGAAGAACAGATATTCAGTAATTGTTACAAAAGTATCAAATAAATGTCAGTTAAGACACTCATGCTGGAGTTAACAATATTTCTCCAATTATGGCTTTCATATGAGTGTGAAACAAAATGAGGCAGTTTTCGAGAAGAAAGCAGTCGCCGTTAACTAATTGGTCTGTCAAAGAAACAAAACGAAAAATCCACTTCACTACAAGCACCTAATCAAATCATACCAAAGTGTCAATACTCAACAACATGCCTCTCCGAATTAAAACACCATTCATCACTTACTTCATTGATGCTACACAAGAGGTACTCTCACTTCTTCACCTACTCATGCATATATTCGTGTTTCACCGAAATCCCTGGAACTAAAACAACACCATCACCAATACCGAAAACAACCCTTACACTACTAGAGATTACCTCACCAATCTAAACAGAGATTGCGATTGAATTTCACAGTATCATCGTTAACCACTCGTCGATATGAAGATGACAGCAGTGATGTGACCAGAAATGCTGCTGTACACCCTCAAGTCCATCCACGACCGGATAACTGAGAATCAATATTGAATGAGAAGCTGACGACTACTCTGAAACGGTCTAGTCAAGTAAACTTCGTCATCCGATGTCAGAGAATGAACAGTTGTTATCAGACCACTTCGAGGTCACATAAACAATCCACCCACCCACACACACACTCACTCACACACATGCCACGCTTACACACACAAACACACACCACAGCCAAATTACTTCACAGAATGTAGATGCTGTTCTTGATTAGAAGGAATTTGTATTAACAGAAATTTTAGAAACTTACTAATTAAGTTACCAGGAAATCTGTAATCATCTATATTTATCTTAATTTTTTGTAAACTTGTGGTTGAACGTAATATTTTCTTATTTCTAAATCATTATTCTCTCGTATGGTGTGTTGTAAACTGATTTAAAATTTGCTTAAAAATTGATTAATACAAATTCCTTCTAATTAAGAAGAGCATCTACATTCTGTGAAGTAATTTGGCTGTGGTATGGGTGTGTGTGCGTGGCGTGTGTGTGAGTGAGTGTGTGGGTGGGTGGATTGTTTATGTGACCTCGAAGTGGTCTGATAACAACTGTTCATTCTCTGACATCGGATGACGAAGTTTACTTGACTAGACCATTTCAGAGTAGTCGTCAGCTTCTCATTCAATATTGATTCTCAGTTATCCGGTGGTGGATGGACTTGAGGGTGTACAGCAGCATTTCTGGTCACATCACTGCTGTCGTCTTCATATCGACGAGTGGTTAACGATGATACTGTGGAATTCAATCGCAATCTCTGTTTAGATTGGTGAGGTAATCTCTAGTAGTGTATGGGTTGTTTTCGGTATTGGTGATGGTGTTGTTGTAGTTCCAGGGATTTCAGTGTAACACGAATATGTGCATTTGTAGGTGAAGAAGTGAGAGTACCTCTTGTGTAGCATCAGTGAAGTAAGTGATGAATGGTGTTTTAATTTGGAGAGGCATGTTGATGAGTATTGACACTTTGGTATGATTTGATTAGGTGCTTGTAGTGAAGTGGATTTTTCGTTTTGTTTCTTTGACAGACTGATTAGTGAATGGAGACTGTTCAATCCGTCATACAGTTCTTCATATAATTGGCATCCATTATATGAGGAATATTTTTATTCTCAACATTTATATTTTCAGTCACCATGATGAGAATTTTTACTTGTCTGTATAAATGAATGACAAATCGATGTTGTTTCTGCTGACTTTTCGCTATTTATTGCTAGCAGCTTCATGAATGTTTTATGGAGACAGTATTTACACAATCTCAGCTTGTATACAACAAATTTATCCTTATTCTTCAGCAGGGTATAATTCTGACATGGTAAACTTGACCAATTTGTTAAAGATAACAAAAGCATATGTGGATTGTTGGATTTGAGAAGCACATACAACTGCAAGAGCAGCACGTATTTACGTAGTGAAATTGTTTATCACATTTGTGTTGGTTTCCTGAATTCATGGTGTAGGGCGTGTTGCAACCAGATGAAATTCTGCTTCAGCCCATCATTCCTATCCAAACAATTTAGTTTCCATTGGATATGAAGTGCTTCTGGCATTTGACTTTCTCTGTGATCTTTGATACTTTCATTCTTGGTGATAATTCCAGTATTGTTGAAATCAATTTTCTCACCTGATTCTATATCGTAGTGTGTAGACCCATGACTGATGATGATTTTTCAAGCTTTTGTAGTTCAACTGGATGTCTTGGTGGTCAAACAGATGCTCTACCTTGTTCATTTCTTCTCATCTTGATTTCTCACGAAGTGTGCACAATGTACATCGCAGCACATTCCAAACAGTTTACTTTCAAGACACAATCAGGTTGAGAGTACTATGGCATTCGGTCTTCTACACGCACAAGTTTGCCTCGTAGTGTGTCCGATGTTTTGGAGGAAACTCTGATGTTGTGCTTGTTGAGTAGTCTTCTGATATCTTCTGTCGTTTCCGATCGAGCTGTTGAGGCTCGTGTCTTCGGGGTACGTTTTTGACCATATCTAATGTCGGTGTTGAATTTGTCAGTGAAGTTCTACGGGTAGTTATTCTTTTCTGAGAATTTCAGTAGTGCTTGGTATTTCCTCTTCCTTTTTTTCCTAATTCGTTTTCAGAGAGTGTACTCGTTCAGGAAGATTCGGGACAACTGACACGTTTACGCTGGTGGGTGTGACGATCTACAGTCTAAATATTTGTTGGAGTGGGTCTTCTTCCGGAATACAGATCAATTTTCTCTCCTCTCAATTAGGCAGTCTAGAAATGGTATTTCACGGAAGTCAGCTTCCAAGGTATATTGGATGCTGGTTGACAGATTGTTCTGTTTCTCCACGA